TTTATGAGGAACAACTTAAAACAGCTATAGATTAATTAAAGAGTGTGAGATCTCATTTTCATCAAATCCAGTTTTTAACGTATTCAAGGTAAAATTATGATTTGAGAAAGAAATCTAATAAATTCGAATACAAAAATGTATTTTTATGTTAATATGGATTATACATTGCTGAAGCAAAATAAAACTTCAACACCTATAAATATACTATTTTGTGGTGGTCAACATGTTATAATAATGAATGCATTTCATTACATTAAATATTATTAAATGACTAAAAGTAAAAAAGTAAAGTAAATATTTAAACAAAAGTAGGACAACAGGGCCTCGATGGTCAGGTGTATTAATTTCTGATGAGCTGCCGTTTTTTTAATCCAGATGTGCCCATGTGTTGCCAAGCCAATATTCATTTTAGATGAGTGCAAACAAGCTCAGACAAGCCATTCCAAGTCAGCCAGACATAAACCTGTCAACACAAGCTGGACTAATTGTAAACACTCAATTTTCAGAACCATTTTGTGTCTATGGAGCATATAGTGATGGTACAGAAGGAAGCCAGAAACAGCAGAAAGGGAAGGGAAGCATAACAATGAAACAGGTTCAGAGTGCTATCGATCCTTTTACAGCACATTTAAAGAGGGCACTGTATGTTCAAAGCTGAATAAGAGTGTTGTTGAACTGCTTAAAGGCTGATGTGCACAAATGCTGTGATTACGTTTCATGCATATTTCAGCAACGCTAATGCGGTTTTATTGCACAGAATGAAAGAACATCTACATATGATTCTTATTACATTATATGATATAAAATGACAAATTCTGAAATAACAATGATTTTGAGCAATTTCTAATTCCTCTGGTAAACAAAAAAGTGACATCAAAATCAAAATCTGAGAGGTAGAATTTGGGCACATATTGTCAGGCAGGATTATCCTGTAAAGAAGACAATGTCAGCCAGATGAGCTTATGAAGCCGACTCCCCTCGTGTCCTTGTGGAATGGATGCGGTATGTGTGATGCAATGTGAATGTGCGGTAACACAATTGCTTTCTATGGCCAGCAATTTGTTTGGCCCGTCTTTGGAAGCTTTCTCCGTTATGAGTGCTCAGATCAATACCATCAGCTCTAAGCATCTGTCTAAAACACATCGTCCTTTTCCTCCTGAATCGACTTCTCTCTTTCTTCTCTCCACGAAGGCATGTACTGCAGAAATGCAGCGAATAAATATAGCACAAATATGTATATAATAGCCTGAATGGAGAGACTATTTTGTGCAGGGGACATTTATCAGCTATTTACAGCTGAATGTACAGCATGAACACCACATGCAAATGAGCTTTTTTGTATGTTTGACATCTTTGACATTTTATGTCATTCATTCATTAAAATACTATTTATATGTGCATGAGTGAATGTGGATATGTATGTGTGTGTATGTGAACTAACCTACATAAATGTGGATGAAGAAATAGTCCACCCAAAAATGAACATTTTGTCATCATTTATTTATCCTCATGCTGTTCCAAACCTGTATGACTTACTTTTTTTTTTTTTTAGATATTTTGATAAGATATTTTGTAGAATGTTGGTAAACAAACCATTTTAGTTCCCATTTACTTCCATAGTATTTTTTTATTTTGTGAGTAAATTAGGACAATTTTCATATTTTGGTGGACTATCTCTTGAAAGAAAATGATGGAAAAATGATTGCGGTCATTTAATTTTGTGAGGAATTTATAACAAAAAAATGTGAAAATTGCTTTGTGGATACTATGTGGATTGATGAAAGACAATGTAGTTGGCACTTATAATATAGGATCAATATAATGTACTAATATATATATATATATATATTAGGCTATTATTTATATTATTTCAAATAATAACATGTGATTGTTTGCTTTGAAAACATATTTTTCATGGCAGATCAAATTCTTTATATATGTGGTATTGCTGCTTTGGGCATGTGTTTCTCATACCAAGACATGGCATGTAAATTTGTAGTTTAGTCTGTGAGTTATTAAGGAAAATGTAAAATATGTCACAATTGCCCCTGGTTTCCCCTAAAATATTTTTCTCCACACAAGCCAAAGCGCATGGTAACATTATAAGCACTTATAGAGAACTGGAAAAGACAGCATCCCACTGCTTGGCTTTATATAGCACAGCAAACTCACAGAGAGAGGATCAAAGATGAAGAGAAAACATGCTGATTTATTCAAATACATTCTGCCTCAACACAACCCCACACAACATTGTCTTAAAGAGGAGAGCGAGGAAAGAGAGAGAAAAGGAAATGGGGATAGTCATTGCAGCATTTGCTGAACATTAACAGTCATTTCAAAACCATGGACATAAATAAGGGGTTGGTCTTCTGCTGTTATAATAGCTTTCAATCTTCTAGGAAGGCTTCATACTTGAGGAAGGAACATTGATGCAGGGATTTGCTCCTATTTATGTGCAGTTGTGATCTTAATTCATCCCAAAGATGTTCAGTGGAGTTCAGGCTTTGTGCAGGCCAGTCAAGATCTTCCACACCAGACTCAGTGAACCTTGTCTAAATGAACCTTGCTTTGTATATTATAATTATTATAAACAGGAATTTTCTGCAGTCACTATACTCCAGTCTTCAGTGTCACATGATCCTTCAGAAATCATATGCTGATTTAATTCTTAAGTTCTTGGTTTTTATTTTTGTGGAAATTGTGATACATTTTGTTTTCAGGATTCAAAAGAACTGCATTTATTAAAAATATATATATATTTTTGTAACAATGTAAAAGCATTTACTGTGACTTTTGATCAAGCATTCTATGTACAAAGCCAATAGTTCTACTCAACTGTTTACATATCCTTTGCAGATTTAAAAAAAAAAATTGTTTCTGCCCTGATGATGTTACAGTAGACATTTAAATATACTAAAATTACACACATTATTCTGTTCAAAAGGTGATTCTTTGATATCCTTGATTACTACTGAGTGTTGCCTTCTTATAATATGTAAGTATCTGTTATGCAGCATCTTCATATAAAAAAATAATCTTCATCTTCTATAAAAAAAAAATCTTGTTTTCAATTTTGTTTTCTATTTTTAAGGCTTAACATTTTACAGATTATGTAAGAGGTATTTAAATGTATGAGAAAAAGTGTTATGTAACACTCACCATATTTATTAATACACTGTAAATAAAGACACACAAGCACAACTCACCAAATCAGGTAACTCAGTCTCTCATGGTCTTTTTTTTAAAGGGGTCATGACATGAATTTTTATTTTTTTATTTTTTTATGTTATGTTAAAGGAGTGGCTCAAGCGTGAGGAGAAAATCTGAAACTTGCCAAACTTGCACATCAAAATATGAACTTGCATCTGTATACTGAATCAAGTGTAGAAAGCGTCAGTGATTATAATGGGTCCTGTCTGCTTTTGACACAATGCAACGTTCATGTCTGGTGTAGACAGAGAGCGACTGAACGCCAGTGGACAGGGCCTTTGGTGCAATGATGCATAATTATTCATCAACGTCTTGCTCTGGGGGCAGTCGTATGCAAAAATATTTGCCCGTGTGATGTCACAGATCCCACAATAGCCGTTTCTGGAGCTTGATTAAATGCTGTTTATAATAAGGAGGACATTTTAAGTTTTGAAACTTGCAGGACGATTTAATGGTACAAAGACCTCTTATATGTCAAAACATAAAGGCAAATTTGATTTCTCATATCATAACCCCTTTAAGACAGGAGCAATAAAAGAAGGGAAACTGAGCAAAAAGGGGATACTGCATTTAAACAGAGACAGAGAGATTTAGAGCATGTACAGGTGGACATGAGCACAGAGGAGAAAGAGAGAGTTAATGGTGTGTGATTAGAGTCTTTATTGATCTGCCGTTGAAACATCTTTCCTGTCCACTGAACACAACAAGAGTGGCAAGAACAAGCCAATAAGAGAGAGGGAAACAGAGACAGAGAACAGGATGGATGAGTAGTTAGAGAGAGAGACAGAGGAAATGTATTATGCTGACCCTGAGAATGGAGAAACCAAGAGGATGGGAGAAGTGGAGACCAACATGCTACACCGTCTCTTAGTGCAGTATGAAAGAGAATAAGTGCACAGAGTCATTTTATAGTGTATCTAAAGATTACAAATATGCCACGTTCTGTGTTGATTCATATTGGTGGGACTCAAGTGGGGAAAAACAGCTTTTACTTGATTTGATGAATAAAGCCATCTCACTGGACTGATCTGTAGGTGCTATTACTCAATTGCAGGAAGCATGCGACAAAGGTTTTATAACCATGCAATGATCGGTGTTTGCCTGTCACTCTCAGAAATAAAGGAGATTCTAAGGCAGTGCTTTTCTGCTGTCCTGCCAAAAGCTGAAAGCTGCTGTTCTCTTTACTAAACTGCAACACCTTTTTGCAGGGTTATCATTAACTAAAACCATAAAAAAATAATATAAAAAACATGAACTGAAATTATATATATATATATTATATATATATATACAAAAGATGTGTAAACAGTTTTAGTGGCTTCTTTGGACAGATAAAAACATTTAAATATTTTTATTCTTATAAAATGAAGTTTTTTTTAATTATTGTTATATTATTACCTATTAATCATAATCAAATATATTACTGCCAATATTTTGATGATTTGCAATATTTTCAATAACTAATATATTAATATATAATATACTAATATATCAATTTCAATAACTAATATATTATTTATAAAATGTGAAATTGCTTGAACATGTTTTGTATCGCTTATATACTAATAAGTGAACATTCATGTGTTTTTTTTATTTCTGTGGTTTCCATGAAGAGTTACATGAATTTTGTTATGTTTCATGAATCCAGGCTGTTCTCCAGAGAGGAGGTTTTTTGTGTTTTGCAGCTGTGCCTCAGGGTTAAACAAAACTACACAGCAGACGCCGCTTCCAAAAATGTGATTCTTTATGAGATGTGGGATGCATATTGATCTACAGTATATCTCTTACAGGCAGTGATGGGGCAGATACAGAAGAGAGACTGGTGGAGCATCTTCTTAATCCAGCCCACTACAACAAACTGATCCGACCAGCGACTAATGGTTCAGAACTGGTGACAGTGCAGCTAATGGTCTCGCTGGCACAGCTCATCAGTGTGGTCAGTGGACATGTTTACATTTCGTTCTCTCATATTTACATACAATATGCATGTGCATAAAGGTTTCACGTCCTTACAAATTGTACTTCACTTAATCATAACACTAGTTCCCTTCAGAAGAGTTCAAACAAATTTGTCAGCAGTGACAGAGCCAAAGCATTTAATGATACCCTCTTATCTATTCAACATCTCTTCTGTTTCCAAATTTGGTCGGTTTTCAATGTGGTATTATGTATCTTTGCTCAGTAAGCTTACTTAGGTCTTAAATGGAGCTGTGACATAATGCAGTTAGGCTTAGAGGCCTCTATATTAGCATGATTTTGAGAGTAAAATGATGTCAGTATGCTGTAAGAAGTGAGCATGGACAACAGGAAATAGCCATCTGTTCCCACAGGTGCAGCACATTACCCATGCTTACTGACCACTCATCATTCAATGCTAACCGCTCAGCTGTCAGCCAGTTACATGCTTCCTTCATGCTTGTAATGCACTGTAAATCAACAGCTCACTTACCTGGGCTGAAAGGAGGAAAGTGGTGTCATTCCTGTGTAATTCATCTCTGGAGGGCCGGCAGGGGCTTCTTAACAGCCTTGATCCATAAAATAACCATTATGCTCAGGAATGTAGCCTTAAAGTCAATAAAAATAGATACTATACAATAAAATGATGAACCATGATGAATACTTTCTTACTTGGTATTATATTATATTATATTAATAATAAATTAAATAAATTTGAATAAATGCTGGAATTAATGAAATTATATAATTCATTGAATGTGTAGTTCAAAAACGCAGATTTATTTTTATTATTTAGTATAATTATTTATTTGTATTATTAAGTTGTATTTAATTTGTAGTTTGTATCGATTTTTACTATTCTCTGTCTGTTTTTTTTTTTTCTACACAGCATGAGAGAGAACAGATCATGACCACCAATGTCTGGCTTACACAGGTTAGTCAATACTTGCATTACTCATGCCCCATTTTATTTTCCACATGTACGGTTTTCACAGACACACATTTGTTTTGCTATCATTGTTGTAGATGTTCCACTGATTTCTATTAAAGTTTGCATAACTATTATTAAATTATTAATTTTTTCCAAGATTAACTTTTAAGTGTGCATTCACAATTAAATAGCTAATATCAACAGGTACCAATAACTACAATTCTCCCACCATAATAAAAACAAACAAACGTGGGTATGAGTGTGAATATGCAGAATATTCACTCTCAGTTTGAATTGAAATGTCAATTTGAGGTTGTTTACATCATCAGTATCTCACAAGCTGTTTTTATATACAAAACAACCCATGGAAATCTGTTTGTACAGATACAGTACTCTCTTACACATCTCTCTTTTTTTCTGTCTCGTTCTCCATTTTTCTGTCACTCCCTCTCTGAATCATCTGCTCATGGTCACTATGACCATAGATGTCAGTTGGCAAGAGTTATTGCCACTGTCAGTACAGGTTACCCATAAAAATTTGCCACAGTGTGTGTCTTTCCTATCCAGAGTGTATGTGTATGTGATTGGTGTGTCAGAGTAAAAAATGTAGTATAATTACATTAGTTACACTATCTGGTCAAAACCCAACAGGAAGTGTGTTAAATGACCATCATTAGACATTTATCACTCTTTTTGTGTGTATTAATATGACTACCATTAGCTAGGCTATGCCTTTTGACAGCTCTCATTTGCAGTCTGCAGCATTTATGGCCTCAAGTAATCATTTCTAATCTTTTAATCTAGTTTATTAGGACATTTCTATTAGTAATGAAAAGTGACAGATCATTTATACATATGCTAAATATACTGCTAATTGACTGAGAGCAGTGGTGTGTGTGACAGATGAACATGATCTTAACAGCATGTGGAATTGGTTACACCTCCTGTTCACAGGTCAATGAGAAATGACATTTTCATAACGTGAGGAGGAAAATGTGAGGGAAAAGGCCATAAATTGATTGTGTATTTCAGTTGCATCCAAAGAGTCAAGGTTTTGCTGTAAACTTGTGCTAGTAGGTGTTGTAACTACATTATCTGGCTGCAAAACACATCTTTCTCCATTGACAGCCATTCAAAAGTAACCGTTTATTCTGCCATTGACATGAATGGTAATCCTAATGGATTGCTTTCTTCAGGGATCATAGCCTCTCTTGAGTCTATCTTGGTTATTTATTTTCACTCTGTCCTCAGGAGTGGCAGGACTACCGGCTAACATGGAACCCAGATGAGTTTGATGGCATGAAGAAGGTCCGTCTTCCCTCCAAACATATTTGGTTACCTGATGTTGTTCTTTACAACAAGTAAGTCTCAAAGATCATCCCATTTTTGGCTCTTGTGTATTTACGTATCTAGTCAGTTTATCACTGTCTTCATCATATCTGATCGTTTCTTTCCGTCACCTATTCCTTTCCTCTGTCATTGGAGGGTAGATAACATCCCTGCTTATCAGTCTTTGTCTCATTAGTGGTGTTCCCGTGTCACATTACTTGACCTCACTGTAAATAAAGCATGTTCCTCCTCTCTCACGGTCATGTCACGCAGTGGAAGATGTTTTAAATTCAGCCTAATTAACACCAGCTTCCCTCCTGTGTTTGTCTTTATGTATCATTAATAAACCTTGCGCAGAGACACCTACAAACAGGCCCCAAACGCTAAGGTTTGAAAAATGTTCTCATCGGATTCGAGTTCCATTTTTTACTATTGTTAGGATATTTTCTGGATTACGTACCTAGCAAATGTGATGTGTCTGTACCAAATGCCTGAACTAAATGGTTACATAAGGCACTTACATTTGAAGTGAACAGGGTCAGGCCGTCAATATTAAAATACACTGTATTAAAAGTATAGCCACAAGATGTAATAATCATTATATGTAGGGATGCACAATGTGACTTGTGTGCAAAAATTGTTTAATTACCTTGTCTGGGTAACATTGCTTAAAGTTACAATATCCAATCTTTCAAGGTCATGGGTTTGATTCATACTGTAGCAAATGCACAAGCTGATAAAATGTATCCTTTGAATACAATGTGCCATCTGCTTCATGTGCAAGTTTAAATGTCTGTCGCCATGATTGCATAAAATTGCAAACATTCGCACAATACTGTATGTGCAATGATACCAAAAAAGTTACAAAACTGCGAAGTTGTAAAGCACTGTTTGCATGAAGCAATCTTTATCTACAAATTACATCAGTAATTCATAACCAAATGTTTATCCACCTAAATGAGTAGTCCCACCTGAAAATGAACAATACTGACAATTTTAACTCAATAATAGTAAACCTTTTAAAGAAAAATAAATAAACCTGGTTGCTTTTTATGTTACTGTATCAATTTGTGCCTTTAAAAAACGAGTGACGAGTCTAAGTGGGCTTTCACACTAGCACTTTTGGTGTGCACCTGGTTTCATTTGACATCAGAGTTTGGTTCATTTGGATAATGTGAATGCTGTTTTCTGAACTCGGGTGTACACCCGCGAACCACACCTGAGACTCTCTAAGGGATGGTCTGGGGTAGAGTATATGCAAACTCTGGTGCGGTTCATTTCTGATGTAAATGCGCAATTGTATTAAATCACAGAAGTGAACTGCTATTGATGACAAATGAATTGACCAAACTGTGTATTATGTGTTGTCTCACTTACTTTCCTGACAAGCATGACTGAAGTGCTGCAAGCAGAGAGAATTTATATCTAATTTCCGCTCACCTTCAGCAGAAATTGACTCCCACGTTCTTTGCATTGCATTTGTGACAAATAGACGCATGTGCCGTTATGTGTTGGTGCTTTGGAAACAACAACAATTTTTCAGAATCCAAAGTACAGAAGAGAGGTGAGCAAGCAACAGTATCCATTTATGTTGCCATTTTCTCCTGCATAGTCGTTTCCTAGCAGAAGGGGTAAATAGCTGCCACTCTGATGACGCAAACGTACCGGAACCAAAAACACAGTGTGAACCCAATCGAACCAAGTGTGAAAGCACCCTTAATTATTTTATGTGACAATCGACATTATGCCACAAATGCTAATTGATAAAGCTTACTTTGAAATATAAACCATGTCATAATCTCTCTGTCTCCTTTCCCATCAGTGCTGATGGCATGTATGAGGTGTCTTTCTACTCCAATGCTGTCGTCTCCTACGATGGAAGTGTCTTCTGGTTGCCACCAGCGATCTATAAGAGTGCCTGTAAAATTGAGGTGAAGCACTTCCCTTTCGACCAGCAGAACTGCACGCTGAGCTTCCGCTCGTGGACCTATGACCGCACAGAAGTGGACCTGGTTCTGCGTGCGGACGTGGCTAGCATGGATGATTTCACGCCCAGCGGCGAGTGGGACATCATCGCTCTCCCCGGCCGTCGAAACGAGAATCCCTCAGACCCAACCTATGTAGACATCACCTATGACTTCATCATCCGGCGCAAACCCCTCTTTTACACCATCAACCTCATCATTCCTTGCATCCTCATCACCTCGCTGGCCATCCTAGTGTTCTACCTTCCGTCGGACTGCGGGGAGAAGATGACGCTCTGCATCTCTGTGCTACTGGCCCTCACTGTGTTCCTGCTGCTGATCTCCAAAATAGTGCCGCCCACGTCTCTCGACGTCCCTCTGGTCGGGAAGTATCTGATGTTCACCATGGTGCTTGTTACGTTCTCCATTGTGACAAGCGTGTGTGTGCTGAACGTGCATCACCGGTCGCCCACCACACACACAATGCCTCCATGGGTAAAGTTGGTGTTCCTCAACAAGTTACCTGCCTTGCTCTTCATGCGGCAGCCACACAACAGCAGCGAGCGGCAGCGTTTGCGCCAACGCCGGCGTGCCAACGAACAGCAGGAAGGTGGGAGAGGGGGTCTGGCTGCTGGGCTCATGGCGGGGCTGGGCCTGGGCGGCTCTTCGTCGGGGAGCAAAGAGAACAATGAGGCGTGCACATGCTATGTGAACCGGGCCTCAGTTAAACAGTTTGGGGCAGAGTTGGGTGGAGGGGCTGGCGGGGGGGGGGCGACAGATGGACTAAATGGGATAAGGGAAGGGGGGAGAGAGGCCAGGGAAGGAAGTTCAAATCCATTGCAAAGCTCTGCTCTACCTCGGGGGAAGCAGCAGCCCCCTACAGTCCTCACCCAGGCTCTGCTGGCCCAGGCCTGCCCAGGGTTCGAAGAGGCTGTAGACGGAGTCCGCTTCATCGCAAACCACATGAAGAGCGAGGACGACGACTGTAGTGTGAGTCATTCTATTTCATAATCATCTGAATGTCCAGATGAGTGTTTTCACATTAGCAACAATAGCATGCTATCATTCATAATTGAAATAATACTTCAGTTTGTCATAGTTTAAATAATACTTCCTGTTCATCGTTGTATTTTAAATGATAGAGTAGTGCCAGTGACAACCGGCTTGATGATTCATACTAGAAATATGAGATGAAAACATTCCCTCTTGCTCAAGCCAAATAACTTCATTGCTAAGAAGCTAAAATGTTATTAGGCCTGCACAATTTATTGAATAAGCAATTATGGTTGCCGTTTGATCATGCCATGCTTTGATAATTGTAATAAGTGCCGACTATACAATTAAATTAAATGGCATGCTGTGCTGTAGTTCACCCAAATATGAAAATTATGTCATAAATTACTCACCCAATTCTTCTAAACCATAACACTTTTGTTCATCTTCGAAACAAATAAAATATTTTTAACGAAACCTGAGAAATTTCTGTCCTTCCATAGAAAGTCCATGCAGATTTGACCCGTAAGGTTTGTTCTCATGCATTAATCAAGTGTGGTTAAGCTTCCGTTGACTACAGTATATTAATGGCATGTGGGTTGATCAATATTTATATGTGAATAAAAGCCTGAAGTAAATCTGCTCATCATATAAAGTGATCATGTCTCTGAAGAGAATTTTCATGAACATTTTTGAAGCAGAAAAGTTTTGGAAAGGTTTTTGAATAGAGGGACTAAAATTTCTCAGGTTTCATTCAAAATATCTTCATTTTTTTTAAAGATAAACTAAAGTCTTTTGGCTTTGTAATGTCATGAAGGTAAGTAACATGATAACACAACTTGCATTTTTTATGTGGTGAATCAGGTGTTTAATTAGTATACCAGCCTGCATGTTGCTAAGAAGACTAATTTAAATTTGATTTACAATAAATCAACAGCACATTAAATCAGGAAGGCAGTTATCAGCTTTGTTTTGGATGTGTAGGCTGCTTAAAAACTATGGCATGCAGTTGCCATACTCAAAATAAGTTCTGCATTTTAATGTTAAGTTTATTAACCAAAAAAAAAAAACTACAATTATGAAGTTTGTCATAGTCATCCAGACAACATATATCACCTATAGCTTTTTTGAATTGGGCATGCCATATACTGTAGCTGTAACACTGGTGTCCAGATTCTATTTCTCTTACGCTTACTCAGTAATTGGACCTGTATCTCCTGAACTGCAAAAATGAAAAGACGGGTTGGTACACTAGTGTTACACTGATATAAGAAAAGCAGAACTGAAGCAAGCCAAAGTTTGTTAAATTATATTATAATGTTACATTATATTTCAGCAACTACATCTAAAACAAAGTTAGAAATTACACTAAAACTGTTAGAGTGAGCATTAGATCATCCAGGCCTGACTCAAAACTTGACATTCATTATGAGCTCAGTGAAAGCTTACACACATTCCCATAGACACACTCAGATCAATATGCAGCTCCACACTTGTGGTTTAATAATCTCTGATGTGGAGGCTTTGCCAGGCAAGTCCTAAAGCATTAAAAAAAGAGATGTGGTCTTTAGCCAAAGCACAGCTACACATCAGCACTACACTCACTGTTGGCATTTAAATGGCTTACAGTCCCATTCTGTCAAACACCGTCTCAGCATTACTCACATATGAGAGTAGCAGTCGTGCTGGATGATACTAGAGGTGATTTTTTTTTTTTTTTACAGAGATGTGCATTTTACAAGCCAAGTGATAGAAGACAACTGATCTATATATTACACATATATTAAAATAGATATATTCAATTACATTAAAATGTTCCGACTAATATATATAATATATATACACACACAATACACACACATAATATTTGTATTTAAAAATCAGTAATATACTCTTAATGGTTTAATTTTTGTAATTTATTATTCTATTCTAAAAATATTTTAAATGTTTTAAATGGGCCACTTTTATAGTATGAAAAGTGCCAAAGAGATATTAATAGATTTATAGTGAGTTTTTGTCTTTATCTTTTCACATTATTTTGATGATATTGAGTAGTTAGAACAGTCAGCAATATATTTTTATAACTCAGCAATATTTTTAAGTGAGCTTGAGCAGTTGGTTTCTCCTTAAGAGCAGGAATACAGTCAACATGGGGTAAAATTAACAGCACTCAGTAATTCTGTCATCTCGACCTGCACACAGTTTCATTCCCATGGTAACAAGGCGTCTCCATGCCAACTCCCTTGCAGCCTTTGCCGTGGTTACGGTTCATGTCCCCTGTGTCTCACCTCATCAGAGCACTGTGGCGGAATGAAGTCTCTGTTCACATTAACCTTTTCCTTCACCCTCTTCTCTCTTCCCTTCTCTCACTCACTCCCACACATTCACATGCAATTTCCCATCTTATGTTTACCTCTCAATCTTTTTTTTTTTTTTTACCCCCCCCTCTCATCTATGCCCTGTCTCCCTTTTACACCTGACATCTTCATATCTTTTAGACATTTCACCTTTTTAAAGGGATAGTTCACCCAACAATGAAAATTCTGTCATTATTCACGCAGTCATCTGGTTGTTCTAAACCCATTTGCTGCTATCTTTTCCATGGAACACAAAAGAAGAATGTTGAAGAGTCACGCAACTGTTTGCAATGTAATGAGTTCAAAGTGAGCACATCTGTCAAGCTTCAAAAAGGGCACTTTTCTTCACTGATTCATTCATTGTTATTCATTTCTCTTATACTGGAGTATTCAAATTAAATATGGCTTCTGTGGCCCAGGTTTAAAACATCATGACGTATGGTCATGTGTAGACATCATAAGTTCTGTCCATACTGCAGCATATTCTGGTCAAGAACTGCCCACTTAATCAGAGAGCAGCTTGACTGACATATACAGTGTGTATAGAAAAGAATCAGCCCCCTTTAAAATAATCACATTTTGTTGCTTTGCAGCCTGAAATGAAGACGGCCACAGTTTTTGTATTTACAGTATTTACTCAGTGCAGCTTGTAAATACAGTACAAGCTGTGCAACTTAAATATAACACCGACATGTCAGAAAAAAATAAATATAAAAAAAACAGAATCACTGAGTTAGAAAAAGGATCACCTGTTTGTGTCAAGATTTTGTTGAACCACCTTTTGCTTTAATTACAGCCTTTAGTCGGTTGGGATTTGTCTCTACTAACTTTGCACATCTAGACTTTGCAATATTTGCCCACTCTGCTTTGCAGAACTGCTCAAGTTCAGTTTAATTAGATGATGACCAGTTGTGGACTGCTGTCTTCAAGTCATTCCACAGATTTTCAATGGAGTGTAAGTTTGTGCTCTGACTAGGCCATGCAAGGACATTCACCTTTAGCCCTATTCGGACGGTAATTGTTTCTCAGGGGGACGTAAGTGACAAACACCAAGGTCGTGTGGTAATTTAATTGCCATCCGAATCCACATCTCTGAGTTCACGAGAAGAAGTCGATTCAAAATTCAGTGTTTAAACCCTTGTTGAGCAGTCCCGAACACCGTAAGGTAACGTTGTACTTGTGTAATTTGCATATATATTTATTTCTGAAATTCTGAAAAGTATTTAAAAGAACAATACTTCATAACTGCTCCACCACATAAGAATACATTTGTAAATAAAATTATTCATCACAGAACTCGCTCCTCTACTGTGAATATATCGCCATCCGAATCCATGAGTTTTATCACTGAGGTGATATGTACATTTATTTTTACAGATGTCCATATGAGAAACAATTACCGTCCGAATCGGGCTTTAGTCTCCTTCAACCACTGTGTGCTCAGTTTTGCCATATCGTTTGGTGTTGAGGCCAAATAATTCAATTTTCATCTGCCTCATAATCTTCAGGTGCGTTTTGGCAAAGCTCAGTCGTGACTGTATGTGGCCGTTCTTGAGGAGTGGTTTTTTTCTTGCAACTCTCCCATATAAGCCACATTTGTGGAGAATTTGTGATATTGTTGTCACATGCACACAATGACCACTCTTTGTCATAAATTCCTGCAACTGCTTCAGAGTTGCTGTAGGCCTCTTGGTCGCCTCTCTGACCAGTTTCCTCCAAGCTCTTTCATCCAGTTTGCAGCGACCTTCTGATCCAGGGAGGGTCCGTGTTGTAACAAATACATTCCATTTCTTAATGATAGACTTCACTGTGCTCCTAAGCATTGATAAAGCATTTGAATGTTTTTGTATCCATGTCCTGACTTGTGCCTGTCCACAACTCTATCCTGGAGATCTTTTGATGGGTGCCCATAGTTGATTGTTTGCTTCAGTTGCACTACCAAGGACTGAAATGCTCCAGGAAAGCTCTTTTCATGCTGAGCTAATCAAAATGACCACAGCTGATCACAGTTGAAAGTCAAATGGCTTTGTGTGCCATTGAGAAGGTGATTAGCTACACCTGATTGAGTTTACAAGTCATTTTTAGGAGGGGGGTGATCCTTTTTCCAACTCAGTGATTCTGTTTTTTATTTTTTCTGACATGTTGGTGTTATATCTTTCACTTAGATGTTATAAGTTGCACTGAGTAAATACAGCTAGATAAAACAACTGTGTCCGTCTTCATTTCAGGCTGCAAAGCAACAAAATGTGATTATTTCAAAGGGCCGGGGGGTTGATTCTTTTCTATAGAATCACCAATGGATGCTATACACCATCAGTTGTGATGGGAGGGCGAAGGGAGGAGGGGGGGTCTGCCGAAGGAGAGGGCAAATGTCACTCTGGACTAATGATAGTTTTTACGAACCTTTTTTGAAATCTCGCACAGAGTGGGGATTTAGTCCAGGATTCTCGTTCAGGCCTCTCGTCCAGTCCACCTTCCCCTCCTTTTAGGTGAAAAACCACACAAGCCACTGTATAGCAGTCAATCATTGTTTGGGTTTTTATTGCCATTTAGGGACGAGGCTATCTGAGACACATTATACCAGAGTTGGGAAAAGAAATTCAACAGGTAATATAATTCTGGAAAATGGTTCATAAATTTAAATGAAGGCCTACAAAATCTTCAAACTTTAAAGTTCTAAAACTTTCAAGTAAGACTCCTAAGCCAACATTCAGTTTGTCTTGACAATTTTTTTTTTTACAGTTAATTAGGTTAAATTTATTATTTTCCAATTCACTTTAATGTTTTACCATTAAATTCAAAATTCAAACTGCAATTCTATTTCCTGTTAGCTACCTCAGCATAAATTAATTGTAAAAGCATTCTCAATTCGAGTAATATAAACCAAAAAAAAAAAAGAAAAAAAAGTTTTTATGGTGCATTTTTGTCATTTTTAGAGAACAAAGAAAATGAGAGAATGGAAAATAATTACAGAAAACAACAGTATACAGGTTTGGAATAACGACTGATAAAAAAAATAACAGTTTGCAGCAAATAATGACAACATTTTGAAGGGAATTATTTCACTCCGTTCACATCAGTGTTATTTTAATATTATATACTATTATAACATTTAGATTTTAACATTAATATTTTCAATTAGCTTTCAGTTTTATATTTTTGGTTTTAATTTCAATTTACATTTTAGTCATTTTGTTATGAGCTATTGTCATTTTTATTAGGTTACTTTTTTTATATTTCTATTTAGCTTTAATTTTTTAATTCAGTTTTAGTTTTAATAATTTTTTGTACTAAAACTCATATGAGTTAGTTGCCAAGGCAACATTCCAATTTTTTTGAAAGTTTTTCCATCTAATATTTATTTTTATTTCATCTTTATTTCAGTTAACGAAAACGATTTGTAATAATTTTATTTAACCATGCCTACCCTGCTGTACATCCCTAAATCCATCCATCGGCCCACTCCTTAATCTGCTGGTTTTTTTTATCTTACAGGTGAGTGAGGACTGGAAGTATGTCGCCATGGTGATCGATCGTCTGTTTCTCTGGATCTTTGTGTTTGTGTGTGTCTTTGGCACAGTCGGAATGTTCCTTCAGCCTCTGTTCCAAAACTACACAGCCAAAACTATCACCAACACACCTGGCTGACTAACCACCAACCCCCTCCACAACAATGGACGCTATACACCATCAGTTGCAATGGGAGGGCGAAGGGAGGAGGGGGGGTCTGCCGAAGGAGAGGGCAAATGTCACTCTGGACTAACGTTAGGTTTATACGAACCTTTTTTGAAATCTCACACAGAGTGGGGATTTAGTCCAGGATTCTCATTCAGGCCTCTCGTCCAGTCCACCTTCCCCTCCTTTTAGGTGAAAAACCACACAAGCCAGTCGGAGAGAAAGGAGACACCTGTTTACTTTGCTCAGCAGCCAATCAGCACTCTTCTCTGCAAACAGAAAGCCATCCACCGCCCACAAGCTCCGAAACGAGCAGTCTGCTTCATCAAGAGTCACATGACTTGTTATCTGTACATGCAAGCTAGTCAGACAGGGATGATGCCCGTTTTAACATCATTTCTATCAGATTTTCATAGTTAAATCTGTCATATTTATTTCTTATGGTCTAGTAGCCTGTCATGATCCATGTATTGCAACAACATTCTGATTTCTGTGCGAACATACAAGTGTCTGGTCCTTCGAAATGGGCTTTGATGCAGTATTGTATTATTATTATAAATATAATAAATGTGTGAATTGTATTACTACAACACACAACAAAGAGGGAGGATGCCTGGTGAGATGTGAGTGACAATGACTGTGTATTAAGACTGAAGGTACTTTAAAGTTAAATATAGTGGTACTTTAAAAAGTTAAATTTGCCAAAAAGGGGGCCCACTGTGGTGTAGAACAGGGTTCCCACCCATAAAAATCCTTCCCTAGCCTTGTGATTTTTCAGTACAACACTGAACAGATGAGCTCTGAGCTGAATGAGTCCCTTTGGTCCCTAAATACTTTACAGAGGTCTGCAGTGGTCGGGCAGACTGGCTAATACATAGACAGACGAGTCTTAAAGCACCTCAGAGTTCAAAATGAAGAGACTGGAAGGCCAAACTGACATGAAAAGTTGCCATAATGAAATTCTGAGCAGTACTGCATTATTATTAGGCCTCCTACACTTGCTTGCATTTCATTCCCTTTCTGTCTTCTATCCTTTTCGTCTATCTCTCCTGTTCCCATCAATCCTCTCACACGACTGCTTGCTTCCTCAGAAACACATAATAGCTTCTCATGAAAATATAAACCATTGGTTATGACCATTCTCATAATCAAAAACACATTTGGTCAGTGGCTTTTTAGATTCCTTGATTTTAAGTCATTATTTACTCGATGTAAAAGTCTGTGAGCCTGTGCTTGCAAATGAGCAGATTTCCGCATAATTTTAACATTTGTCATTCCTAAATTCTGTGCTTCTTGTTTGTTTATTAAGTATTTTGGCAAATTTGGTAATGATTTATTTGCAGAATTGCAGTACTCTCAGCTCCATTTAATAAATTTGATTTAAATATTTCACTAAATATAAATATGTATGTATGTGTATATATATATATATATATATATATATATATACAAACTACCATACATATTTATATTTAGTGAAATATTTAAATCAAATTTATTAAATGGAGCTGAGAGTACTGCAATTCTGCAAATAAATCATTACCAAATTTGCCAAAATACTTAATAAACAAACAAGAAGCACAGAATTTAGGAATGACAAATGTTAAAATTATGCGGAAATCTGCTCATTTGCAAGCACAGGCTCACAGACTTTTACATCGAGTAAATAATGACTTAAAATCAAGGAATCTAAAAAGCCACTGACCAAATGTGTTTTTGATTATGAGAATGGTCATAACCAATGGTTTATATTTTCATGAGAAGCTATTATGATATATATATATATATATATACATAACCTAGTGATAATTCGTAAAAACATAGTGAGGCAATATCATTGCTAGCTATTTCCTCTGCTAACTGAGCCTCCATATCCTTCCTATTTGCATATGATACTTGACCCTTATGAAATCAAGGGCCACTAGCTGGCAGTTAAGACTTTAAGTGTGGATTTCTCTATCAGTTTCATCCATATGGTTCATTAAGCTGGGAATCTCCAAAACTCATCTTTCAGAAAGCAGATTAGGCAAACATGTTCACCCCTGGATTCAATTTTTTTCTTGACTATATTTCCTGAGCGCTTCAAATGACCTCGCACTCATGCTTTGCCTTTTCAGTCTTTCTCCTCCACTCATATTTCCCTCACCAGCAGTGCTCTGCAGAAAGCCCTATTACAAACCACAAAGCTGCATAGTACAGCTGCTCTATTTGACCGTTAGCTTTTAAAAATACAACAGTATAAGGGTGAAAGTCAAACTATGAATGCATTACTTTTGTCTTTGTTTTTGGCTCCAAGTAGCAGGAAGTCTCCAGTGACTCACAATGTCTGTGCTCACAGTGTGACATCAACGACGAGACAGAAGTCAGTATTCGCCACACAGAGTCGTGTCTCTATTCATTAAAGCATTCTGTCCATGAGAGCAAGCAAATCGGCTTTCATAACCATAAGTGCTTAAGTCTCTCCAATTCATCAAAGGAAAAATGGAATGAAGAGAAGAGACAAAGGGAGGAGTGTTTCTCCCTATGTTATGTCATGTCAAGTCAACCTGTTCAATAATGCAATAATCCAGAAGTGTGACATCACAATGATTCTGTGTCAAAATATCTGTGTGTTGGCCAATAAGAGTGCACCGTCTTATTCACACTAATGGCACTTAAATGCCCGTCTCCTATCCTCACCTCCCTCTTTTGGCTGACCGATCACATTTATCCTGTCAAATAAAGATTAGAAATTCATCATCTCTCTGTGTTGGACAATTCTTGGCCTATTTGCACAAATAACACTTTCTTATTTCTCTGTTAGGGAAAGTCGAACTCAATGTTTTGCACTGAATACAATGTCGTTTTCATTTCTGTTTAAATCCTCAAACAAGATGGGCAAGAGGACTAGGCCTTTGTGTAGTTCTGCTGCCCAAGGACTTGTTCACCAGTCTCTAAACTCACATCCGTTGGCACTGCCACCTCCTGACAACATAATAAATTCATGTCTTATTTCAAGTTGGCTGCGCATCCTCCTTTATGAAAGCTCTTCAAGCCAAATTTTCATGAGAGCAGCTTAGAGAAAGGAAATGCGCGTCCACATATTATATTAATGTGGCCTTCAGTTTATGCTACATAAAACAGGACCTTGCTTTTGTATGTTCCTACATCCCTGGTGACGAAAATAGTGAATGCTTCATGTAGATGCAAGAAGATATAATTTTATTGAATAATAAATGAGCATGATCATGCAGTCTTTCCTACATTGAGTAAGCGACTGTCTGCAAACATGAAGAATCGAGTTGCCCTTCTAGACAAATACCCGAGACCTTTCCTGTCTAACCTCAGCTTTGATTCAATACTGCCCTCTAATGGTCAAGACTCTTACTATCGGTGTTCATTTTTATAGATTATTTCGTTTGTCATTTTTGTCTTGTGACGAAAATATTCTTTAAATTGAGTCAGTATTGTGTTATTTCATATTCATTCATTTTAGTCAGTTTTACTCTAAATGGCATCTAATTTTGGGTAAAATATCATTTTAGTTCAGAGAAAGTGCAACAGAAAACATTTTATGTACAGGCCTACAAATATGGCTCTTACAACATCCCAAAATATTCAATATAAAATATGCAGTAAGTAATAATGCTTTGTGGGAGAAAAAAAGAATGGAACAGATGGTCCAAAATAAAAATCTACTCCCCCCTTATTTCTCTCCAAACCAGAATAATCATCTAGAAGATGCAAGGTGATTTTAACTTCTCAAGTAGCCTACCGTAGATGTAGTCCATATCGTGTGCGTTATTCCAAGTCTTCTGAATTCAGTCGACTGCTTTATGTGAAACCTGCCTGTAATGTAAGTATTCATTCAAAATCTGGCGCGCAAACAAAAAGTTCTGTTAGTTTACGTAAGCGACAATCAGAAGTGACGTAATTGTGACACGGTTAAAAAAACATACGTGTTAATATCTTTTTTTTTCTTCTTCACATTTTCGTCAACAATATCTTTTAATTTTAATGTTTCATTAGTGACGAAATACAGTTCGTTAACAAACTATTATCATCAGAAGCCTAATTTTGTTGACGAGATTGCACTTCCATCTGCTGCGAAAAAAGGACACCAGCCTCATTTATTTCTTTTAAATCTGCAGTTTATTGTTATATGGAGAGTTATAACTCCAATTGTTAATAAACAAAAGAAAGGAAGAAACACATATTCACATATTCAACAAAGACCATGTCAAAATCTCATTCCTAATGCTTTCATTTCTAATAGGTTCAGGGGACGGAAACATGTTGTGCCTCATGGAACATTTTGTGTACCCAGGATTGCATGGATGCAGGATGTGGATGCAGAGATGATGTGAAACCTTTTTTAGTATCAGTAGCCTAAGGAAGATTCATACACACATACACATATTCCCCTTCTCCCCTCATTTCCCCCTCATCATCATTCTCTGGTCATGTGTTGGCTTTTGTTCAGAGAAATGTTGCTCTACTCTTTCTTTTCAACCTTCTTTCCTTCCTTTTCGTGATACTCGAGGAAGAAGTCGTTGCAGGCGACAGTGAGGGCACCAACGAGGATGACGAACTCTGTGAAGTCTACCTCACCGTCGTTGTTTGAATCCAGGTCTCCCATAACTTTATCTACCGCATCCTTATCCTGTGCGTTCTGTGGAGCAAGAGAGGTGCAGATAAAGTTAATCAGAAACATCTGACTTTCACAAAGAAATCAAAACTCTGTTTTCCCCTTACCCCAAGGTAGTTGCCCAGCTCCTGCGTTAGCATCTCTTTGAGTTCCTGCTTGCTAAGAGTATATTTGTCACCCTCATTTCCAGAGTACTTATGGAACGTCTGGATCATCAGCTGCATGGCGGTCTCCAGAGTGGAGGCATTCTCTGAGTTTAGAACATTAGACATTCTGGAAAGAAAGATTTATTGGTCACTGTAGTGAGTGACTGTATTCAGACTTATAAATGCACTCAAGAATGCACAAAAGGTTTTCTTTAGTATTTCTGTCTCATTTTAAATATTTAAAAGCACGAAGCAGACTTATTTTCACCAGACCACAACAGTAAAAACATTTCAAAAGAAGCAGTTATATATTCTCAGCATAACATGCTTTGACCCCCTCCTTCCCTCTCCAGATCATCCTACGAGGGGCTTAACTTAACTACAGAAGGGAAATGTGACTTGCCTGATAAGGGTGAAATCCTAAACTGGAGAAAACACTCTGAACCTGCGGTGGAAGTTGTAATCCGAGCCAATCTGAGTGCCCACAACTCACTACACACACACATATATTTAACCAAACGCTGCCCTGGGTTTGAGATTAGCCCTGTCCTGATGGATGAACTGATAAACATATTGGGTTGTGTTGGCAAAAATAACTTCAGAGGAGAAGAAAAGCCTCCGCAGATGCATTATAGAGATGAGCCACAAGCCACACAGAACTTGAGGTGGAGAGCCATGTTAAATAATTTTTATCCAATAGCAGCTCGATGCATCAAACTTTTCTTTAGCATATGATGTGATGTTCTGTCTGTGCAAAAGATGCCCAGGCCTTTATTTAGCAGTCTGGTCCAAAAGCTCATTAGAAACATCAGGCAGCATGAAAGCCATCTAGCGTATAACTCTAAAATTCACAATTACAATCTGTTCTTCTATCCATCTTTTCTTTCCCTTACC